CCCTGCCAGAGCATATATTATTCATTATAGTAGGTCGTACAACTCTTTCTTATCTGTTGTAATATTCGAATCGATATCTTTGATTTTTTATTAAGGCCTACAGAATGAAAAACACTTCGTCATCCAACTGACGAGATGCTTACTTTTACTTTTACTTTTTTTCTTCCGCTTGTACCGGTGGGAGTCGCGGGGAGACACATGCGTTTGTCTGCAGCTAGGCGAGTCATCAGAACAAAGTAATGGATAGCTGGGTTTGGGTGAAGTAAGGTGAGACTTTTGTACCTGAGGCGTTAAGCTAGCCGCGAAGGCCGACCTGGGTCACCCTGAAACTTTGCTGGCAAATGGAGCTCTGGTGAAACTGCGACTGGCTAAGCAGGCCGGCAGTGGATATTTATACTGCTCAAGAAAAGGATAAAAGGAGACCAGATGCACTAGGCTCAAAATACGGACGCCTACGTTGTCACAGTATAATCGCAGACCCTAGATCGATTCCTGAGTGAGGAGACACTTTTATCGAGTATCGCGGTCTTTCTGCTGGGAATTTGTATCCATTAATTTAACCCGGAAAGGCCCTGACAGGCAGGGTCGGGAGCCTGCCTTCAGACTAAATTTTGTCTATGGAGGCGCGTAAAGCTCGGACATTTAAAAAAAATGAAAAAGAAAAAAAAATGGGCCGAAATTTTGTTTTTTTTCTTCTTCTTTAATTACAGCTTCTTAATCAAGATACACGTGAGATATTTGGTTAAAATTAAAATTTAAGTTTTTTGAATGTTTAAAACAGCAATAAAAAAACATAACGTAGAAACAATTTGTAAAGTAATTGATAGTACAGTTTCTTCTCGTTTCTAAAAAGAAAATGCTCACTGTGATTAAGACATTTAAACAACTTGACAACGATTCAGAAATGCGAAAATCTGGCATGATCGATGGAAGGCAGTTGGCAGTTGTGTTACTCTAACGACCGTGTACGTCCCTTACCAATCCTATAATGTCCGTCTGCCTTTGCCCCTCCCCCCTCTTCTTCTACGCGCACACACGCACACACACACACACACACACACACACACACACACACACACACACACACACTCACACACACACACACACACACATCATATTACCATAATCACGAATTCGCGCGTTTTACAGTATTAATGTTGTTGATGTTGCTCGATTGTTTTTCGTTCAGATATAGAAAAAAACACAACCAGAACTGAAAATCCTGTATGAATAAAGAAGTAGTTCTGATTAGTTCATTACAGGGTGTCTTCTCGCCAAAGACTAGAATGCACCTGTATCCTCTAAGACTTACTTTAGTACGAGTTTTACGCTACTTGTAACACAATATTATGTCATGATAAGTGAGGAAGATTAGAAGTGTCAAACGGTAATTATTCACAAACACAAAAAGGAAGGCGTACACAATGAATGACAAGAAAGATAGAAGTTTGATAGGAAAGAAGAAGCAAATCACACCGGAGCACCCGCCAACCAACCGCCTCGTTAGTTTTTGTTTGTTTACTGCACCATCGACTTGTAACACCCCTACTATTCAGCACGTAGAACGGTATATATGACCGTGTTGTGCTGCGAGTGCCGTACAACTCTTACTAAAACTTTGGAAAAATTTAACACTGGGAAGTGGGGAGAGAGTACACCAGGTGGGAATGGGTACCCAGCTATAGACAGCGAGAGATCTTGTCAGTTTGTTAGTGTTTGAGCGCTTAATCGGCTGCTCGCACTGTATGCTTCCCGGGAAGCTGAGAATGTTTCGGAGTGTTCTATGGTCTGCTGGGGTAATAATATAGTGGAAAGCGCATAGAGCCTATGTTGAGCGGGGATATGCGCTATACAAATGCTATCTATTATTATTATTATTACACTTGGCACATACGGTGTTTTGTTCTGGACGATCGAGGTCGTTTGGTACTTTCTGTCCGCCTTTTTTTCCGGGGGGGGGGGTGTAAATTTGTACTGTTTAACATGCCTTATTGGGGCACGTTGGTACTTTATGATAATAATATAGTGCATTTGGGATAATTTGGTACTTTCTGTAGCGCCTTTTCGGTATTTTGGTACTTTCTATAGCGCATTGGGGGTAAATTTGGTACTTTCTGTAGTAGCTAGGGGTAATTTGCTACTTTCTGTAGTGTTTTGTAGGGGGGGGGGGGTAATTTGGTACTTTCTGTGGTACCTAGTATCTATAGGGGTCCTGTGGTACTTTCTGTTGTACCTAGGGGTCATTTAGTACTTTCTGTAGTACCTAGTATCTATAGGGGTAATTTTCGCACACTCTGAAGGCCTTTGGATAATTTAGAGCGCGAGTGACGCAGATTTGAACGCGATCTGTCAACATCACTTTGTGATAACGTCCTTGTCAGGAGAGGCTGGTGACTGTGTTATGTGTGGTATGTGAGGTATGTGTGGTATGTGAGGTATATGTGTTGGTGACTGTGTTATGTGTGGTATGTGTGTTGACTGACTGTGTTATGTGTGGTATGTGAGGTATGTGTGTTGGTGACTGTGTTATGTGTGGTATGTGTGTTGGTGACTGTGTTATGTGTGGTATGTGTGTTAACTGACTGTGTTATGTGTGGTATGTGTGTTGGTGACTGTGTTATGTGTGGTATGTGTGTTAACTGACTGTGTTATGTGTGGTATGTGTGTTGGTGACTGTGTTATGTGTG